TTACAAAAACACAGTGTTTGTGAAATGCGCTTTTTTTAAGTTTTTTTATTTTTATTTTTTTCTTTATCTTTGCCGTTTCCCTTGATTGCAGAGTCGGTGGAGAAAATAAAATGGCAGAATTTCCAGAGAGACGTACATTCCCTGACTTTGACGAGAGATCGAGTACGCCAGGTGAGACCATGATGACAGGGGTATTGATTTTCTATTTCTATACATATTATATATACATATATCTATCTATCTATCTATCTATCTATCTATCTATCTATCTATCTATATATAGTCAAACAGAACTGCGCGGTAAACTGTAGAAAGAGAGGGAGAAGAGGACAGCAAACGAGGGGCTGTGGCGAACTGTTTCGTCGGAGTTTCACCGACTCATCAGGAGGCTGAACCCTCTCTCTCTCTCTATATATATATATATATATATCGTCACAAACAGAACTGCCCGGTAAACCGTAGGCAGAGAGAGAGAAGAGGACAACAAACGAGGGGCTGTGACAATGTCGTCAAACAGAGCTGCCCGGTAAACTGTAGGCAAAGAGGGAGGGAGAAGAGGGGGACAACACAAAGGAGGGGCTGTGACAGACTGTTTCGTCGGAGATATATGCTTTTACGAATATTAATGAGTATTGTGTACATAAATGTACGGAAGAGGTTCTGAACAGGGGAAGTTGTAAGAAAGAAGATAAAAAAAGGAATGATTTTTTTCTTGTTTTCTTCTGTTTTTTTTCGACTGTGCGCTCTCATATTCATGTGACGATATATATATTCTATTTGACGATATATATATCTATGTATATGTATAGACATATGACGAGTAGGTGAAACGCAGCCAAATCAGTTTGTCACAGCCCCTCTGCCTACGGTTCACCGGGCAGTTCTCTAGGACGATATTCTGTTCGTCGATATAATAAAAATATTAAATATTATAAATATATATTTATGAAAACTCAAAAGAATCATCTTTCCCTCTTGCCTGCTCTCCGCATAACCGAAGTGTGTGGTGTGACACGGATATATAATTGGCAAAACGACAAAATGAGAGAAAAAAAAAATGCAGCAGCAGTAAATAGTAAGTGAAATGACATCAAATGCGTGATGTGATGCGAAGGATATGTGTGTGTTAATGATGACTCGATGCATTGAATCGCCGCATATAATTAAAATGCGAATTGTACTGGGGATGTGTGTGAAAAATAAATGTAATGAATCGATGCATTGTCCAGGTGCACCGAATCGAAATGAATTGTGAATGGTGGCCATTCACATAAGCAAAGAAGAAGAAGAAGAAGAAGAAGAAGAAGAAGAAGAAGAAGAAGAAAAGGAAGGAAGAAGAAGAAGAAGAAGAAGAAGAAGAAGAAGAAGAAGAAGAAGAAGAAGAAAAGGAAGAAGGAAGAAGGAAGAAGGAAGAAGAAGAAGAGGAGGAGGAGGAGGAGGAGGAGGAGGAGGAGGAGGAGGAAGAGGGCGAGAAGAAGAAGAAGAAGGAGAGGAGCTAGAAGGAAAATAACTAGTAGATTGACTAATGGCAATCCTATGGATGAATGGATGAATGGATGAATGGATGTGGATGAATGGATGAATGAATGATTCGTAGTATTCCTGTTTTGTGCTTGGCTGGACAGTTCATGCACCTGGTCCTGCACCTGGACAATCAAGGGTGCCAGGTGCATGAACTGTCCAGCCAAGCACAAAACAAGAATCATTCGTGGTTTATCGAGTGTGTAGTATATCATTATGATTAAAAATTATTTATGATAATAAGTATTAATAACAATAATTTATCAATAATACTCTAAGTTACTCTATTACAGTACTACTATCATTGTATTGTTTTAATGTGGTTCGATTGACCCAATACATGGTCAATATTAGAAAAAAATATCAATATTAGAAAACTGATCAGAATATATATATTCTATTCTTGATCTATTTTTACCCAAAACACCGAGAAAGATATACTTCCCACTTCCCACAAATGGATTGGAGCGTTTTTTACTTTAAAAACAAAAAAAAAAGTTGTTGCCATTTTAAAGAGATACGCATAGTAAAAAGAAGAAGCAGAAAGTAAAATGAAATAATAACAAAACATCGTATGTATGTATATGTATGTTGTTGTTGTTGTTGTTGTTGTTGTTGTTGTTGTTGTTGTTTTCTCGTGTGTGTGTGTGTGTGTGTGTGTGTGTGTGTGTGTGTGTGTGTGTGTGTGTGTGTGTGTGTGTGTGTGTGTGTGTGTGTGTGT